AATTAACATGTCCGTATAACAAAGGTTTTAAAATTTGTCACTTTAATGCTTGGAGCTTAACAGCAGACAAACTGGATTATTTAAGCCATTTGTTTTCTGAAACTAACATTGATGTGATATGTGTAAAGGCTCTGTTATGCATACTTGGCATTGCATGCACTGCTATACCATTTTTACGTAGAAATCAAAAACCAACAGACTTTTACGTATGTAATGCTGTGCGTTGGGTAACCGCTTACACGCGAAGCTCATTTAACAGATTCCTTATGTGACAACTCTCAAGCAATGCCAAGTATGCATAACGGAGCCTTAACTGAGACGTGGTTCAAAGCCTGTATAGAGTGCTCAACATATGCTCTGGGCGATTTTTCACTGTTAAAGAATGACAGATCTTCTAGTTGCAGAGGTGGCGGCATAGGTATCTACTTTAATCCCAAGCTCAAGTGTAAAGTGTTACATAAGTCAACTTATTCTGATGTTCTTAAGTGTTTGTTTGTAGAATTTAGTGATAATGTGCAGAAATGTCTCTTTAACTATGTTCATGTCCTCGTCTGTGGTGATTTTAATGTAGATATTTTAACAGATAACGCTAAGTCGAAAAATTTATTGAGGAGCTTTCACTCAACTGGCATTACTCTTGTTAATAAATATGCGACACGCTTTGCACCTCAAAAGAAGCCAACCATGTTAGATATATTTGGCGTCAGTGATGTTAATAGCGTAAACCATGTTGACCAATTTCCCTTAATGTTTTTATGATATAATAGTTGCGTTCGATAACAAAATTAGCCAACACCAGCCAACAATCAAAATCAAGAGAGTAAGCGAAAATTCTCTCCCAAAAGAGATGAAAAAGCAAAAAGTAAACGAACAGGAAATTAGCCATTACTTGCAAAAACCGGAAGAAGACACACCCACTTTGACTTTGTTTATGTTTTATTTGTAAACAAACTGAAATTCATGTTGCCTCCATAGGAAAAAAGGAAAGTGAACGTTCAATGTTCGCCAGGAGCATTTCTAGAAGTAAAAACTAGTTGGCGCTATCATAAAGTCACATAGCAGGCAGCCAAATAGCATATAAATACCAAAACTCGGAAAATGCAATTTTGTTTGTTTAGAGAAATTGCAACCATATGTTTTGTGATCATATGTTTTCGTGTTGGATAATTTTTGCTGACTAAAATTTTGCCAGTACAAAATGAACGGTTCTCTTGCATCAAAATGAACGCTTGCTCTCTCAATTTTTGTGTGTTGGATAATTTTTTGTCGTTATCGAACGCCATCCAGTAAAAATTTGGAAAAACTATTACAAATTTTTGACTTGTCGAACGCACCTAATGTTGAGTTCAATTCAGTACAACAAGTAACCAACCTGACATTTAGAGATTTCAAAAATATAAATATGGCTACCTTAATTGACGAAAGTAACTCACTGGACTGGAAGTTCTGTTGGTTCCTTTCAGATGTTGATGAAAAGCTAGATTATTTTACAATGTTGGTAAACAACTTGTTTGACAAGTATGTCCCTCTTCGTACCATTAAAAGAATTGATAATACGAAACCCTGGTCCACTAAAACTATTTTAAACCTTATTAAGCACCGAAACAAAGCTTACAAGTACAAGAACGATGGGATGAATATAAGAATTTACGAAATAAAGCAACTACAAAAATACGCCGGGCTAAAATACTATATCTCAAGAGGAAATTTAATGATAGTGGTTCCACTAAAGATTTATGGAAAAACTTCTAGTCATTAGGAGTCTGCGTAAAAGACAGGAAGACATGTACGATTGACCCCGATGAAACGAATTCATACTTCATTGGAGTAAACAGGCAGCAAACATCTAATTCTCTCTTTAAGATTAACCAAAGTCTTGTCTGTGATCCCGTCATTAAATTTTCGTTTAATACAGCCACTGAAAATGAAGTAATTAACTGCATGTATGCAAATAAAATCGAAAAATCGAATGCTATTGGTGTGGACGGTCTAAGCTTGCGTTTTTTAAAACTTATTCTCCCCTGTGCACTTCCATCACTTACACATAGTTATTATCAATTATGTTTTGACGTCGTCCACATTCCCTAAGCAATGGAAAGTGGCAAATGTCATTCCGACCCCTAAAGACAACCTTGGTGACTCTCCCCAAAGTTATATGCCCATCAGTATTCTTCCAGCTTTATCGAAAGTGGTTGAAAAAGTTATTTCGAAACAGTTACTGTTACATTTAAATAAATATAGCCTCCTATCTGAGTACCAATCTGGTTTTAGGTCTGGGCATAGTTGCGCCACAGCCATACTTCAAGTAATGCCCGGCCTTTGACAGCAAAATGCTCACAATCTTGGTTCTCCTGGACTTCTCTAAAGCGTTCGAAATCCGTGAATCATAATATCTTACTCTTAAAGCTACAACATTATTTTGGATTTGACTCAACGTCAGTAAAGTTAGTAAAAAGCTATCTCTCGATGAGGCAACAAGTTCAGTGTGGCAACCTTATTTCGCAATGCAGTGCTATCTCTTCTGGTGTACCTCAGGGTTCAATCCTAGGTCCCATATTGTTCACAGTTTTTATCAACGATATTGTAAATTGCTGTCAAAACGCATCTATACACTTGTATGCTGACGATACGCAGATCTACCTTTCGCGTCGCTTGGTTTTGGTGAGGATTTGGTGTGCAGACTTAATGAAGACCTCAAAAAATTATCAATCTGGTCAAAAGCAAATGGCCTTTGTTTAAATGCAGCAAAAACTCAGGTCTTGCAAATATCACATGATTCTTTCGATCTCAGTGAATTATCCCCTTTAGTGCTGGATGAAACGCAAATCACATTTCAATCGGTTGTGACGAACTTAGGCTATAAAATGAACTCTCGGCTGACTTGCACAAATCACATCAGCTTTAGCATTACTAAAATTTACTATGTATTAAGGAATTTGTGGCATAGTTGCTATTGTCTACCAGTTCACGTAAAACTAAAACTTGTAAAGACATTCATCGTTCCTCTAATCTCCTATTCTGAGCTAGTATATGGAAATCTCGACCATGAATCTAGAGCTAAATTAAACCTTGCTTTGAATAATGCAGCGAGATTCATATGATCATATTTCGAAAGTATGATCATACTTCGACAAGCACAGAAAGTATTCGAGGCTTCAAGGCTCTGTTATGCATACTTGGCATTGCTTGAGAGTTGTCACATAAGGAATCTGTTAAATGAGCTTCGCGTGTGAGCGGTTACCCAACGCACAGCATTACATACGTTGTTGGTTTTTGATTTCTACGTAAAAATGGTATAGCAGTGCATGCAATGCCAAGTATGCATAACAGAGCCTTCAGATTAGAAAATTACCTTAAGGTGCGAAATATTCTATTTCTATTTAAAATAATTAAATATCGTAAACCCGGCTATCTGTTTGATAAACTCAAATTTGTTGTATCATCTCGCACTAACAACATTGTCGTACCAAAATATATAACTTTAACGGCATCTAGATTATTCTTCGTTAGTGGTGTCAGACTATGGAATTCATTACCAATATCAATTAAATGTATCAAATCGGATAGATGATTTAAGATGGCAGACTTTTTCTTGTAGTTACCTATTTATATGCTCTTCTCTATCCTCTCTGTTTTATCTTTTTCACTAACTATTTATTATCTGTTACTCTTCTCTAATAACTGGATAAGTCCTAGACTTTGAGCTTAGTTTAAGATACAAACCTGTAATTTATAATGTAAATATGTACAAAGAAAAGACTACGTCTTACTGTACTAATAATAATAAAAAAATTAATAAATTATAAAAAAAAAGTATAAACAGGAGCTGAATGCGTGTACAAAGGAATTACGTATTTTGTTGCAGGCGTAAAAAGGAAGAAGTCCGCAGTCGATCCTTCAGTCCTTGTCTGCTTCGAAACAGACTGACTACTCACTTTGGCGAACACCGAAGCAGCGTTGCCAGGTTGACGTTTTTAACGTCATTTGGACGTTTTTTGTATCCCGTTGACGTTTGGACGTTTTTTGTGTAAAAAATGAAGTTTTTTAACTTCCCAGTAATTTTTCTTTTTGACGGTAGGGGGTCTTGTAAGTAGAACTGATTTTGAATTACTTTCTTAAAAAATCTTTACAAGCTTTGTGTTTTGCAGCAGTTGCTTCAAAAGATATTTATTCTTTGGACACAGATGACTTAAATATGATGCAAACCAAGCGTACGCGCATTTTTTTTTTGATCTTGGACTAAGGATCCCGTGTTCAAAGGCTGCTTGTGTAAACACTTGAGGTTACGAGGCTTATTGTTATGTTTGCAATAGGCACATTAAAGGCCAAATCAGGAAAAGCTGATCTATTGCAACACGCACGCTCGCAAAAGCATCAAAAAAGCTGTAGCAGCATAAAAAGTCAGGAAAAACTAGGCGACTTTTTTAAGACTTCATTGAAAATGTAAAGAACGCAAAAAAGGCTGAATTATTGCTATGCTCCTTCTTAACAGAACGTAATTTAGCTTTTTCGACAACCGACCCCCTAACCAAATGCATACAAGAAAAAAATATATATATTAAAAATCAACGCGGTTATTTAGCCCATTCCAACTTGCACATTATTGCCCTGAAATCTAGCTGAAACTTTACAGATTTTTTATAACTTTTGCACACAGTTTGAAATGTGGATTTATATTTTGTTTGTTATATAATGAGCTTGGCTTTTATGAAAAAATAATAAACATTAAATAAACAAAAGAGAAACAGCCAAAATCGATCGAAATGTTGTTGACTTAATCAGCTGGTCACAAGTATATGTATAAAATGATTTTTATATTAACGATCTCAAACCAGTTTACAATGAATTTTAAATGTGCTCTGTCGAAATTACATTTTAATATACATACCTTACGTACATATCTCTGTACCTTTGTATGCAAAAAAGATTAATAAGAACAATTTTTTGTACATTCATTTGAAAAAGACGTTTTTGGGTAGGAAATGACGTTTTTTCAGACCAAGAGGGACGTTTTCTCATGCCGAAGACCTGGCAACACTGCACTGAAGCATGCAAAGAGGCCCGTTCTTCGAGAAGCACCATTACGTACTCAGAACGGAAGCAGAGCGAGGAATGATGAGGATAAAGCAAACGCTTTCGCCTGTCATCTTTCATAAGTCTTTAGACCCAATGAGGCTCTCATCCTTCATATATTTTTAAAACCCCCCAGTAGCCTTACCACAAATCCGCTTCAGGTTTAAAGGAAAGATTTAATTAACACCATTGTTCATGATATTCAGAAGAATAACAAACAACAACAAACAAACTGCCGTACATTTTTTGTTACATATTTTTAATAACATGCTTAAGTTGGGGCACTTCCCCGGAAATAATAATGGTGCCAAAGCCAGACAAAGATCCGACGGTATGAAGTTCATATCGGCCGATTAGCTTGATTTCTGTATTTTCCAAAATATTTGAAAAACTTCTATTGAAAAAAATACAACCTTCACTAACAAGCAACCAAATAATACCACATCAGTTTGGTTTTCGTGAAAAACATGGCACTGTAAAACAAGTTCATAGAATTGTTTCTTGTATTAGAAAAGCCTTCGAAGGGAAGCAATACTGCGCCGGTGTATTTTTGGACATCTCTCAAGGTTTTGACAAATTCTGGCATGATGGCCTTATATACAAACAAAAACAAATAACTAAACATTTGCCCAACTAATCTTTTGTATGTGAAGAAAAAATAAAATAAAAAAAACCTTGGTAAAAATGCGTTTAACTGATATGGACTGACTTTAATTTAATAAATCAAATATTTACCTTTAATAAGTCTTGAACGGATCCTTTTTCAAAATTATTCAACATCGTCTGGATTTTATCTGCTGGCACTCGGTGTTTATTTTTAAGAGCAAGTTTATACGCAGAATTTTTCCAAGACGTTCTAGGCTCTAGAATCTCAATGGCATAACCATTCTCCACTGCTATTTTCACATACACTAACATCTCCCATAACTTTATATTGGTATTATCAATAAAAATTGGACTCCAACCCGCTTGTGCGTGTTCTGCAACCCGGCGTTGATTAAATTCATGAGCTTGATCTAATAAGTTCGCATGCCATTTGTATCGATTAGAATTGTTATAAAAGAAGTCATCGGAACTAAAAATAAAATCTCTTAACATATACTGATCGTTGAGTTCTACGTGTTGTTCTACGATATTTTTCGCCAAGCATGATTTGCCACTTCCAGGAGCTCCACGCAAAAGAATCATAACTTTAGAGCCATCTGATATTAATCTTGAAATTCGCTGCTCTACAAATGAACTTCCAGAAGAATTGTTTTGATTGTTATTAATCCCCGATAAATACGTATATCCGTCCGAGGCGGGTCGCTTTTGAACTGTGTCCTTTATTGCAGCTCTTTCGCCCACCGATATATTTTGCTTTGGAATAGCTCCACTTCCCAATTTCCTGTGGTTTTCATAGTCGTCTTGGTTATTGGCCTTTATCAAGAAGTCTATGCAGCGCTCAACTGTGATTAAAAATTATATTGTAATTAGAAATTTATAAGCCAGGAATGTTTGGCTATTTACCATTCCATGAATGTGATTCACAGAGTCTTCGTAGTTGATCGCAGGGGACACAATTAAAAATATCGGTCAATTGTTTTAAAATATTCTGTTTTTCTTCTTCACTTAATTGCGCCGTTTTCGATATATGATATGGGCTTTGCATTTTTTATCAAATTCCCTCCAGAACTTCAGCTACAATCTTGATAACAAAATCATCCATGAACGAAAGACACAAGTCACGCCTTCCCGAAAGAAAGAAAAAAGTTGCTGAAATCTCGACGCCATCTTTGTTGTAAGAAGTAAACAACGAAGAGAACAAAACAAAACCACGTAATTGTTGAACAAATGAATAATCATTTTTATTATGCAAATTCTTCTATAAATCATGTCGTTGTGTTAAATTATTCTTTACCTTATGTGTGCACACGTTGTCACAAGCGAAAATTAAGAAAATTGCAGTAAAAAGCCACCACCAAATTGTAAACAACGAACAAATGTAAACAAACGGCTAATGTCAAAGTCGCCCAACTTTTTTCCTAAATGCGATTATAACGGGCTACTAAGACGGAGGCGTGATCTTGTATTTTCGGTTCAAGAAAATCATCAGCACAGTATAGACAGTAACCAACCTTTTTGGGTTGTTGTTGTAGTTATATTCACTCCTGAGGAAGGCACGGGGTTGTGTGCTGCTATTTAATGGCCTTCTTCAGACTTTTTCTAAGATTTCAGGGTTGTGTGCTGTATTATTATTAGATAAATAAATTTAAGTATTTGTCAAATCGTGATTTTATTAAAAGAAAATTATAAATGGTGTTGAAAAACCAAACAAACACTCGTGCGAAAGCTCTATTTTTGGGTATTGTTAAAATTTATACATGGCGTACTTATTCTTTTGTGGACTTTATGTTACTTGAGAATTTAGACAACGTGCGAGCTGCCAAGTTCTGTTATCATTATAATTAACACAAGATTTTCCGAGTGGTTGCCTTTCAATAAAAAGAATAAACAAATATTCGCAAATAAATTGGGTTTATTTTATAACTGACAACTTAACTACGCTTTTTGTTCTTTTCTCCATTTTAATTTTGACTTCTTATTACCGCCAACAACTTTATGTGTATACATATTTACAAGCTGTCAAAATTTTGCGTAGCCCCACGAGCTAGGTAA